GAGAGAGAGGCGACAGGTCGGTCTCACACAGAATCAATGCCTCACTCCTTATTTCAATGATATAGGACCGCTGACATGCCTCGCCCTCAAATGGGTGGGGCAACTTTTACGGGTGGCGTTCCCTCGGCTCATGGCGATCGCTGCATCATTGTCACTCCTGCTCGAAATCCTTCAAGATGGCGGACTTGGGTGCCCGTTTAAGGAAAAGGTCTCACACTCTTATTCGCTGCGGATGTTGGGGCGTCTCTTTTTTTGTTTGAATTGTCGATTCTTCATCGCCTGGTAAGCGCTATCCTATTCTCCACCAATTGCTGAAGCGAAAAAGCGACAATAATTGGTGGAAAACTCCGCGTCAGACTCTGCCCTCCTGACACGCCCCAGCATCCAGAGCCAACATGACTTTACGTCGACTTGAAGTGGACGCAAATTAGTAATGACAGGTGTTCTCTAATGATCACCCATGTTGAATACAAAAAATGTGGATTTTTGGAATCTTTCCACCGAGTTCTTGAGTGGAATACGCTTCTACAAGAAAAAATTTTAATCGATCATATATCTGCTTTGTAGGACACAGAGCTCAGTTGTTTAGATCTGGATTGTGTATGAAAATAACCCCGTGGGAAAACGTCTCTGTTTCAGGGCTTACACGTTGATAAACTCGACAAATGTGTTTTGGATTGCAAAATCCCAGAAGAGGAGACAGAGGAGGAAAACAAGGCATGTTCATTTCACTTTTCACATGAAAATAGTCGCTTGTAGACACTTTAGCCGACGACAACGAGGGGCTAGGACAACAATATACCCTCTTTCCGAGCTACGAGTCGTCCATTGTGTGCAATTTTAGTTCAGTACCTTTTGCGCCTGTAAAATGCGGCTTAAGGGATAAGAAGAAAAGTTTTGGCGTCGATCAGTCTCGTTCTGGAATGCGCCATGCACTCCGCTCCCCTTTAAGATTGTATTAAATTTCAAATGCGCTACATCCCATACAATGTCTTTCGAGACTAGTCGATATGCGAATCAGTGACTACACTATTTTTGCAAATAACCGACGTTTTAGTGGCAATCCCCCGTCGTGGGCCTTCAAAAACGGCGACCCACTCGAAAAGTGGGCCCAATTTGAGTAAATGTCCCATACCAACACAACATAGTAAGGCACACAAAATCTGGCACACGCCAGAGCGACATTTTTGATCTTCCTTAGACAGTCCAGTGCTGATTTACCATGCCCCGCGAAGTAAATGAGATATGGGATTGGCGTGGACATAAGCGGGAAGAGCCCTGGACCGCAGGAGGGATGAAGCAGCGCGGATTGGACATCCCGCTTTCCTCACAAATGGGGTTGCTCAGACAAAATGTTAGAAAGAAAATGATTAATCATTCTGGTATCGTTATACGGAATTCTCTATTGGTAAATGGGTTCTTTTCGATAGTGAGGAAAGGTTGACACTGCAGGAGCATAGAATAGAATGGTTGTGGTCCGATAGGTCTTTCAAATTCCAGCTCTAGAACAGTCCAGTGTGAGGCCCAGATCTTCATCACTGCCATTAGTAACTGAAAATTTATAAGCCATTTTTTGAGAACATCTGCCCTGGATCATCGGGTGGGCAGACCAGAAAGAAAGGGACATTGCGCCCCACACCCCCCCCCTCACCCCCGCCCCAACACTGTTGGCCTCTATAAAAGACGGCAAGATGGTGGGCACGCCAATGGTAACGCTCCCATTTTACGCACACTTGAGAATCCGGAACGTGGTCTTTGAGCTCCGTACGGGCCTTCGCTTGTTAGCTTATGGCTTCTTAGCTGAATGTCCTACTTTCAGGTCGAACCATCCGAAGTGGAAACTGTTCAAAGCGAGCCGGATGCTCTTGGACCAGCTGAGGCATCATCGGCATCTGCCTTAAGCTTATTTGCCCCAATCATCGCAATACTTTTGCGATAAGTAATGTAGATACTGTAGAACTAATAATTAATACGTACAAATTAATACAATGTTTAGTGGTCATTCCAATACATTAGGTTTTCATAACGATCATCTTATAAGAGGCAATCGGTTCATATTTGGCTCTGTTCAATGGAAATGTCACATCGGACATCTGTGGTCGTGATCCCGGCAAATGATAGGGCGTGTGATGGGCGTGACTTGTTGCGCAGCCAGAGCATCCCTTCCCGCCATTTGTTGCAGACTCAGGATGGCGTCGTTGTTGGAAAGCCGCCCTGGCACCGCTCCAGTGCACACCCCGTCATACGCCCTATCGTATGCAGGCATTAATTACACCCAAGAAACCGCTCAAGAGGTTTCGCAAACAAAAAACGAGGTGACAGCCACCCCACCACATGTGACATAATTTTGGAATGAGCTATACGTAGTTGGAGCTTACACATTGTACGGATAATCATATATACTACTGTCAGTTGAAAAGGAACTTATAGCAATTGTCCAAACCGATGACCGATTTTTGTATTCTAGTCTGCTAAAAGCATAAGATGACGTTGCTCCCGCCATAATAACTGCCCATT